GGGGGGCAGGCTGATCCCCTGGGCACCCCTGGACCTTTCTTCAGGTGTAGTTCGCCGGCTGGTTGCCGGTGCTTTGCAGGCTGGAGGCTTTCCTGGGGTTTGAGGGGGTCCTGCAAGGCCGAATTCTGCCCGGGTGTCACCATCCTGGGTGCGAGGGCATGAAGAGGCACCAGGCTGGGGCTGTGTGAGGGGAGCAGCAGGCACGGGAGTGGGAAGAGGAGCAGCTTTCCCCACACTAGGCATTCGCTAGGTTTCTGGATCAGGTTTGCCTGTCTGCAGTTATTTTCCCTCTAAAACGTGTTGTTACTTACTTTTCACTCACGCTTGTCCCAAATGCACATCAATCACTCTGGGAATGTAGGATTACAGACACAACAGGGAGATTAATTTAGTACTGTCTGTGTCTCTGAGCTGGTTCCTCGCGTCTTGCCTAATATCAGTGAAATACTTTGGTACATCGCCGGGCTGAGGTTTTGTCCTCATTTCTAGGGGCAGGAATCAGCAAGGATCCATGGTGAGGGCAAGGACTTCAAAATGAGCATAGGGGAATGAGTGAGAGGGTCCTCTGCCGAGATGCAGGGGAAGGCAGAGAGCAGTGCAAGGAGGGGAAAGTGGCCTGGTTCTACCAAACTGGACCCAGCAGCCTTGAAAGTGTTGACACTCCCTCTCGTTGTGGTATTTCTACCCATTGCGCTCTTCACAGTTTGTCCCCCTCCCTCTTGTCTGTGATGTGGGACGCTGGCCTTGCTTTACAGGTACTAGCACTCGGCCTCATCCCAGCTGCCTGGATGCAGGCCAGCCTACAGCCAAAAAGCCATGAGTCCCCACTGCACAGTCCTGCTAATGAGGGTGTATTTAGCAGGCTCAGCGCCGTGCTGACATAGCCACATAGCTTTGGGACCCAAGTTGGCTTGCGCTTGCCTGGTTTGGGAATGGGGGGGTATGTCTGTCAGAAGGCGTGGACCTGTCCTAGGAACTGTAAAGCTGCACAGAAACATTCAGCAGAGCAGAACTCTGACCCAAGGTCTCCAGAGCAAACACTGTCAGTTCTCTGACTGCTAAATAATCTCTCCAGAAGAACAGATGGGAAAAAAACCATGCACCACGATGTCTGACAGGAGGCAGAATCTTTAAAGTTAGCATTTTTAAATATATTTATTGTTCGTTCAGGAAAATCAAGAGAGGGAGAATGGACAAGATGCTTGCTTGTCATATCATTACAGCCTACTGACCCTTCAGTAAATAATTTTATTTTTTTTAATATTCAACAGGAGACAGCTAATAAAGGCACATAGCATTAGCATTAAAACAGAGTTGTAATCTGATAAAAATGTCTGTGCTCTTCAAAAAGAAGACCAAATTCGTGCTTGAAAAGTTCTGTTTTTAGACACTTTTCTTACAGTGACTTCTGGCACCTGATGATGCGTTACTGTTATCAAGACAGTATTCTTGGTCTCAGGCTCAGTGGTAGTTGCCTGGAAAGGCATGATATGTTTGTGCTGTCTGGCCTGTACCCTGGTGGACTTTGGGGGTGCTCGATCCAGGCAGAAAGGTGGAATTTTAGTGAAGTGTCTCTCTGTCTGTGTCTCCTGCACCAGAGCTGGAATTTGACAGTCTATGGTGGCCCAGCAGGGAGCTAAACCCTGTTTCTGTTTCCTATATTGCCCATTTCTGCCTGGTTTGCCTCCCTGCAGTGCCTCATTACCCAGTTGTGTGAGCACCAATGTTAGTGCAAGCAAAGAGAGCAGAACATTTTGCATGGGTGTAGCACGGGAGGACAGGACTTTGGCAGCCTGGCAGGCAAGGTGGTCCGATAGCTCATACATCCAAAAGCTACAAAATGCATCACAAGAAGTCATTCTTTTGAAGGCAAAAGATATATGTACTTTCTATATGCAAGCAGCCATATTTTGCATAAGTAGAAATTCTAAATGGTTCCAGTGGGAGTTTGTATCAACTTAGATGGCAGTTTTTAAAGTTGGTGTTGTTCCTTTTGGATGTTGAGGTCTCACTATTGAATGTTTCTAAATTCTGCCCATGTGTTTAATGACATCAAGGGTGTTTATTGCACGATTCACTCTGAAATACTTTTGAATGTAGAGTTCTAAAATTGATGACAGATGTTAAGGAAGGTGACCAATGGTTCTGGTGGTACATCCTGTTCACCACTCATTATTTCAGCACCAACTTAAATGATATTTCATCCTTTTATAAATATTTAACAGATCTAAGCATTTGGGGAACTTGCAAAGTACCTCAAGTATATGTAATCAAGAAATGTGTTAGGAATAATATGAAAACAGTCACAGAATCACAGAATCTTAGGGGTTGGAAGGGACCTCAAAAGATCATCTAGTCCAACCCCCCTGCCAGAGCAGGATCCCCTAGAGTACATATAGAGAGCATATAGAGTGCAATACTCCAATATAACAGAAACCGCTGAAAGGAGAGGTGTCCTAAAGCTGTTAATGCCATGGTTAAATTCTGTCCTGCCTGACAATCACAGTAGCTCTGGCACTTCATGAAAAGATGTCTCAGTGGTAAGTCTAAGGTGTTGTTTTTTTAAAAAAAAATCCCTACAGATCTTTAAAAATAAATGTCCTTATAGTTCTAACAATTAAGAATATTTTTGTACATAGAGAACATTTTAAATAGAAACTACTGTACAGTGAGGAAGCCTGGAAAAAGGATGACTTTGTCATTTGAATAGAAGTGTTTACTCTGAACAAATCTGCAGATCCTTATACATTACAACATACATTATGCAGTAATTCAGTGAAGATACTGTAATCCTCTTTTTTCAGGGATGGAAAAAAAAATAAAGTAGTGTGACTCAGAAATCTATGATTCACATTCCTGTAAATGGAAAAAAAAATAGTTCTGACCACTCAAGTTGTGTTTCATAGGATAACAATGTAATTTTTCTGTGTATTTTTGTGTATTATTCTGTGTATTTATTCCAAGTGTCTCATTAGCTTCCACATTTTGGTATGTACCTGTGTACAAATCCTGTTCTTCAGGTTCCTTTGACTTGCATCCTTCTCATTGTTTCAATGAATTGTCATCTACTATCATTGTGTTAAATAATCTGGACTGAGAGCAACATAGGCAGAGACCATGAAGATGTAGCTATGGGTCCCTAATACTTCTTTTTGTATTTCAAGAGATGGCACCATTCCCTTTATGTCAGCTCTGAGACCCGTTCTCTGTCCTACTGGGGAATTTGACATCTTTCCAATGAGGCACAAAACTGTTGCACTGTCCCTTAATAGTCACTGGGTATTGACTGCAAGAGCGACATTATTATCCCACTAGCTAAATTCCATTCTAGGAAGCCAATATTCTTATTATTCCACATGACTAAGGCAATTCATACTTCTTGTCTTAAGTCTTGATGACCATAAAATTGCCATGTATTTCTGCAGATGACCAATATTTAACTGTCAGTTTGGTTTAGTTCCAGTAAGATGTGAAGTAATCGCTTCAATTTGTGTGCAGCTGCTGTCTCTTGGGGAGTTTTCTGTATGGAAAATGTGAGGTTAGACATTATGTTGTCTGCATATCAAGGTGCTAACAGGAGATTTAAATTTAAATGTAGAAATTCTTACTTCTGCAGGTCAGTCATACAGCCAACTTGGAAGAGAGTCAACAGATAAGGAAACTGGTCTAGATGACATTTTCTGTCTTTTGGGTACTTCAGGCGGAACTAAGATGTGTGATCAGGCATTGATGTCTATGCCTGTATTATTAAATTAAGTGGGGCCAAGAACTTCTTTTCTGGCCCTGCAGCCAGGCTGGAAAGACTTTGATGTTCATACTGCATTTAGCACTTGTCCTGGCTATCCCATGGTGGGATCTAAGACATCTTTGCTATTACTGGTTTTCTTTTTTTCTAGTTCAAAATGCTTGAAACGAATGTTTGAGGTTTGTGCTGCAGCATATTAGAGCGGTGCCTTCACAGCCACCACTTCACAGAGATTGTGTCATGTCCCCTGGATGCCTTGACGAGTCTGAAGGCAGTGCCTGGTGGTGCAGTGTCAAACCATGTGCTTTTTCAGTGCTGTTTTCCAGTGCTGTTCTACAAATCATACCCAGGAGCTGTCTGGGAAGATGTGTTTAGGTAGAAGAAAATGCAAGAAAATGCTAACTGGTAAGCACGATGGGAAGTCAGTGACCCAATGCCCAGGGCTGCTCTGTGGTTCTGTTACACTGGAGTTCCTTAGGGCGTGGGATGTAGCATCATTGCCCACTTGTATGCCTGGTGCTGTTGGGCCACTCAAAAGTGAGCAAGTTTGGTCAGAACAGGTGCACAGTGAGAGGAAAGGAGGAGAATTGTAATAGTGTGGTAAGGACATCTGCCAGGGGTTTTATCTGCTTTATGATGTCTGCAGTGCTCCAAGACCTTAGAGATATAGTGACAGAGCAAACCCAGCAATTTCTGTCTTATGAAGTGCTACAAATACAAAGAAGTTGTCACATTTTAGTCGCAATGTCTTGTACTGGCAGAATCCTAGAGGGCAAAAAGTATTTTCCTGAAAGACTAGTTTGGTCCCATCACTTTTCTTCAACATTGATACAAATACTTAATTAGTGGCTATGCTATGAAACTTCCTGTGGATTTAAATTGTAATCAGGAAATACAGAACAACAACAACAAAAAAGTCAAAACCTTGTATCTTCCATTACAAGCTAATGGAAAACAGCATCCATGGGAAGAGGAAGAGCTTCATTTACCTTTTTTTTTTTTTGTAAGACATAATGTGCTAGTATTTCAATTACATTACATTAATTATAACATTACTGAAAAAGCAAACCCATCAAGGACTAAAAGCAGATAAAGTGCTGCAGTGCTTTGATTGCATGTCTCATTTTTTGGTGAAGGACAGCTGCAGACGTGGCCATTCTCTGCTTCCCCAGCAGCAAACCATGAGTGCATGGGAAGGACAGTCCTGCCGCTTGTGTCCAGGCAGAGGACATTCTCCCTAGACACAAAGCTGTAGAGAGGGGAGGTGGCCCAGACAAATGTGGCTACTCAACCAAGAACACCTGCCAGGTGGCCTCCAGGAGAAGATGCTGGTGGGGAATGGACCACTAATCAAATAAAATGTCCTTGCAGACCACAGCTTGAAGACTATTCATGAAAGGAAATGATTATTCCTCTTGATGGATACCTATGTGTGAGCCATTTTTTTTTACCTGTTCTTTCACTGCTCTGCCTGCTGAGGCTGAAGTTCCTTGTTGGAGGGGTTGTGTTTGTTCCATCACTAAGCACCCAGAGATCATCCTCATGACCTCGTAGGGGTCAACACTCAGTTTTGAAGAGCTGTGAAATTGTTAGGCCACACAGTTTTCAAAACCTGAGGCTTGGTGCTCCTGTAGATGAGGCTGAGGAAAGTTCAGTTTCATGGAGATGTGAAATAGTTGTTTTTTTTTCCTATTGTGTACTGTGTTAATGGACAAATGAAGTGAAGAGCTGTGTGTTATATATCTTTCTGCTCAGAGATAATGTGTCCATCCTCTGTTTCTGTATTCTAGGAATCCAGCTGCAAAACCTTTTCTTCCAGTGTAGATTGTTTGTATCTACCTGGAAGATACCTGGCAGAGTATGAATGAGGAATGCAAGAGAAGGGATAATTGCAGATCAGAAAAATGCTTATGCTTAACATGAGAACTACAAGGAACATACCAGTTAGATGCACTGTAGGGAATAAAACAAGGAAGGAAGTGGCCAGTGGATAGCAGATATGGTAGAACTGAGAATTTCTGAGTTTCAAGACAATAGATGTTTATAGTCTATAATTTACATCTCTCCTGGAAAGGTTACAAAAAGTGACAAACACAAAATAAGGGCTCATTCTTGACGATTTAGGTTTTTTTCTAAAGAACTTGCATGTTAATAAAACAAGGTGTCAAAGGCCATGGCTAAAGGTTTCAACCTTTACCAGAAAAATACCACAGAATACAAAACAAAGGATTTCTCTTTCTTCATCTGATACCTTTGAGACCCTCACCTAATATATATTCATTTAATAGATAAAGGGGCAAGTTATTTGCACCTGAGTATTAGTCTGGGTTAGGATAAACCAAAGGTACTAGTGTATGGTACCTGTGCTATTGATCCTCTCTGCCTGAGGGAAATTCAGTTTCTAATGAATCAAAGGTTACTCTCAAAATAATTGCACTTTCCCCAGAATGTTTTAGTTGAGTTCAGAGGAAGTTTGTGATCCATGAAAACTAAAAGTCCAGTGGAATATTTTGTAGATGGGAATGGGCAGGACCAGGACTTTAAATTACATTTTTTCATTTTATCTAGTATGTTTAAAGATCTGCATTGTTGTAAAGCTTTATCTGTATCAGAAGCTATAAAGACACAGAAACACAGCTCTACACACATCCCTTGTTGTGAGACTAAACAAAGCCAAAATTGTAACCAAAAATTGTCTTTGCAGTGAGGACTGTGGAGCAGGATGTCCTGTGCAAAGCTGTGGCAGTGTAACTTCCTTCAGTGTTGAAGCAAAAAGGGTTAGGAATCAGTCTGAGGGGAACGAAGAAGGCTGAAAGGCTTTCTGATTTCTGCTACTTTATTTTTTTGGTCTCTAAAGAAAATCTGGTGGTGTAGGAACTGCCAAAATAGGTTAGACCATTCACTGGTCTCGATAATCCATGAGCTGGTGTCCTTCACCAGCTAATGCTTCAGAAGAGGGTACGGAAGAACCCCACAGCTGTAGTCAAAGGTTTCCATGAGGAGCTTTCTTTCTGGACAAGGGATGGAACAGGGAGGCAAGCACTGCAGCCAGGTTTGAATGCTAAATCTGAAGATGCAAACTCCTAGAAGAGCATTTAAAACCCAATAAATAAAAGTATGCAAGAAAGAAAAAACCAGACACAGTCTTATTACTCAAGCTTCTGAAAGTAATTAGGATAAAACAGAAGCCTTGCTTTGACTACTAGTAATGTTTTAATACTGCTTTGCAGCTCTTCCATGCGTTGTGGGGGAGTGGAGTCACTGGAGTGGCTGTGCAGAACAGTGTCAACCAAATCTGCGGATACGCAGGCGCTACGTACAACAGGAACCGAAAAACGGTGGAGAGCCTTGTCCTGCTGTGGAGGAGAAGGCTGGCTGCCTGGAATACCTGACTTACCAGGGAGAGGACTGCGGCCATGAACACGGTATCCTCCCTTTGCTTTATCTGTACATTGTGCCCATCAGAGCTTTCATAAATTTTACTGATGTCAGTAAACATAAAAAATAAATCTGCAGCTAGCTGGTTAAAAATACAATTTAAAACCTTAGTTTCTATTGTTATATCTATCGTATATATATAAAAATAACATCCTGTTTCCTCACTAACTAGATGGCATGGATTTCTAAATGTATTTCTTCTGAGTAAGTAGAGAGATTAGCTGTAAGGAATGGAGTTGAGGTCTGATGTTGCCAACATTTTATCAGTTTTTCAAGTCAGTCAGCATCACCATCCACAAGCTCCTGATTCATTCACCCACTGTTACAGGAATTGAAATATGACTCAACTGTGTCTTGCTGCCTTACTGTAACTGTTTTCTTCCTCAGTCCCTGCTTTCATAACTACCTCTGAATACGGTAAAGAAAGAAAACGACGAGCAGCATCTTCTCTCTGGCCTTCAGATAAAGAAGACACTGGGTAAACTATTACTCATAAGCATGTGGGGCACCTTATTCAATAGAACATAGCCTGCTACAGGGAAAAATGTAATTGAATTTGCAAGAATTAAACATTAAGCTATAGCTTGTGCTGTTTTTCTCTCCTGCAGTTCATTTGCACGCTCTAGATGTTTTTTATTACTTGCTAATTGTCCTGAATTAGACATTGGGGTCACAGCAAATGTGAGGATAGCTGCTTTTGAAACCAAACAGTAAATAATGCTAAACCAAGGCTGAATAAATGTAAGTCTGAGAAATTAGGTCTCTGAAAAAACAAAATGGACTGAACATGATCAGTCTCAAGACACCTTTGTTTTTTCTTGAAATTGACACAAGCAGTAAAAACATTTTTTTTAGTAACCAGTACAGATGGCTATGGTGTTTAAATTAGGCTATTATTTGGTCTGTAATGCTCATAATGATTTGCCCAATGCTACTTTCACCAGAACAATAAAGCCCATTGCTATTCTTGAAGCTTCCTTTCCATTTTTTTAGCAGCATATGAGAAAAAAATATAGAATCATAGAACGGTTAGGGTTAGAAGGAACCTTAAAGATCATCTAGTTCCACCCCCCCTGCATCAGCAGGGACACCTCCCACTAGACCAGGTTCCTCAAAGCCCCATCCAACCTGGTCTTGAACACTTCCAGGGAGGGGGCATCCACAGCTTCCCTGGGCAACCTGTTCCAGTGTCTCGCCACCCTCACAGTACCCTCTTTCAGTTTTAAACCATTCCCCTTTGTCAGAAACACGACTTGATAGCAATGATGTCTAACTTGAACTTCACAAATACCACCCACATGATATGAAGTACATTTAAAGTTTATACCTAGCTTGTGCTTCATCTGTTGTAACTAAATGATTTTCCT